AGGAAGAAATGGAATGCAAAGCCAGTTGCTTTGGGATGTAAATTGTCCGAAGATGCAAAAATGACTGGCACCATGCAATTTCTCTGATCTTTTTGGGGCAAAATCTAATAAACACATGTGGCTTCTTTTAGCTTGACATTGCTCTTCACAACAGGCAGATAGCATTTTCATACGCAAGTGCTTTCATAGTCATACAAATGAAGTTCAAAGAAGCGCATTTCTGCATGAGTCTAAAGGTCATCATATTTGCTCAGATTGGTCACTCTCCACAGGTGTGAGCTGAGAAAGAGAGATGGCAAGGCAGCATGATAAATGACACTGGAGGCTGGGTCACTTTGAGGATAGCTTGTGCCCTCTGACCCTACTTGTGCCTGATCCCAATGATGTCATTTCCATCTTACAACGTGTCTTACTGGACTTGCCCTTCCCAACCACATAGGGAATCTGACAGAGCCCAGCAGTTCTGGCTATGAGGTCACTTGTCCTGTAATCAGATACCCTGTCTCTACCAGGCCCAGGAGCACTCTAAGAGCAGCCATTCAAAAGTGTGCATTTCTCTGCTGCAGATGACATGGTGGATTTGCCCCACAACCCTAGGGGTCTACACTGATACTGATTCTGTCAGAGCTTGCGAACAACACAAGGCACCTTTTCTGACCACAGATATTCCAGTCTCATAGGGTCTGTGGGTTCATACCACTGCAGAGACATTTCTGAATTTGGCCTCACTCAAAGCTGATATCTTTCAGTGTCAGCTGGCGAGGTGGTCAGAGATGAATTCCCAAGTGACATATATATTGCTCCAAATCCTAAGAAAATTGATATTGTACTTCTGTCTTTTTTTTTTTAAAGAGATTTTTTGCCTTAGGGCATGTGTGCTTGCTGCAGAAAGAGAGACAGAGATAGCGAGAGGGAAAGTGAGAAATCACCCCTCGGGGGATGGCTACATTGCAATCCCCTCTCCTACATTCTCCTCCCAGGATCTTGGGCACTCAGGCACACTTGCCTGGTGTGAGTTTCAAGTCACTGGGTTCACGACTTAAACTGTGGTTGACCATGTGGGAGTCCAGTGACGTAACCACTATGCCATCTGCTGGCCTCACAGTAGATGTTTGGAGATCGAGAAGTGCATTAAAAATTGCAGCCAGGAGGCCTGCAGGTGAATGCTGAAGGTGCTGGACTCCCACATGATCAACCATGGTTTGAGTACCAGACCTGGCGGCTTGAAAATCATGCTGGGTGCATGTGCATGTCCAAAATCCCCAGAGGTGAATGGAGGAGAAGGGATTATGGTGTGGCCATGCCCCATGGTGGGGGTGTGATTTATCACTTTCCCTCTCTCATCTCTCTGTCTTTCTCTGGCGAGTACCCACAACCTGTAGCAAAAAAACTAAAAATAAATAAATTAAACAATAAAATAAATTGCAGGGACCAGCAGGTGGCGTGGTGGTTAAGGAGCTGGACACTCCCACATGGCCGACCAGGGTTCGAGTCCTGAATCTGGCAGCTTGCTTTCTCACTTCCTCTCTCTTTCTCTCTCGCCCTCTATGTCTCTCTGGTCAAAAAAAAAAAAAAAAAAAAAAAAAGAATGAATAAATAAAATAAAATAAATAATTATTTAAAAAAAAAGTTTAAAAAAAATTGAAGCCAGGTCTCAAGTCTTCCTTGTCTTATTTATTATATTATCTTCTTCTTTTTTTTTTTTTTTAGAGGTTTTTGCTGTAAGACACGAGCGCTCGCCAAGAAGACAGGGAGAGACAGAGACAGAAAGAGAGAAATCAGCCACCAGGAGAGATGGTCACACCACATTCCTTTCTCTTCCATTCTCCTCTTGGTATCTTGGGCACGCATGCACATACACCCAGCGTGAGCTTAAGCCACTGGGTCCACTGGACTCGAACCGTAGTCGACTACAGCCATTACTCTAACTGTAGGTCCCTTTTCCTCTTTTTTTAAAAGAGGTTTTTGCTGTAGGGCGCATGCACTCGCCAGAAAGACAGAGACAGAGAGACAGAAGCGAGAACTCACCCCCCAGGGGGGATGGCCATGCCGCAATCCCTTCTCCATTCTCCTCTTGGGATCTTGGGCACGCACACACACATACCCCATGTGAGTTTAAGCCACCGGGTCCGGGACTTGAACCGTGGTCGACTACATAGGAGTCCAGCGACATAGCCATTACGCCAACTGCTGTTTCCTTCCTTGTCTTATTTCTCACTGCTGGCCCCATGTATTTCTTTCTCAGTGGTGGGAGATGTGAGACCCAATAATCTGTTCTTTGTTCTTTTTATTTTAGTTTGCTATAGGGCATGTGTGCTCACCAGAGAGAGGCAGAGAGATACACACAGAGAAAGAGAGAAAGAGAGGGAAAGTGAGAGAGCACCCCCTGGGGTGCCACAATCCCTTCTCCTCTTGAGATTTTGGGCACACATGGACACACCTATGTATGCTGTGTTTTTTAAGGCACCGGGTCCAGGACTGCAACCACACATCTGCCTTAACCACCATGCCACCAGCTTGCCCTGTCCTTTACTTTGGAGAGAATATCCCAGCATGGCCCAGACTGCTAAGAACTTTATCAATGTAACAATTCCTGAATCTTTGCAGAGTTTTATTCCCCACTCTCTGAGTACATGTATTGTCCAAAGGCCTCCAATGTTGCCAGTTCTTGCTCTTCTGGTCTGCTTAGCACAGCGCTGTATGTATGGCGGTCTAAGATGATGTTCTTCAAACCTGGCAAATTCATTGACAGAGCCCAGGAGCTAACGCAGTCCTGGGGCAAGCCTGTCAATGTACATGGCTGTCCTTCCCATGTAAACGCTAACTGCTTCTGATCCTCCTTTCTAATCCGAGTGGGAAAGAAAATAAGATTCTCCAAAATTACCACATAGGCTACATTAAACTTCAAAGTTTCCACCTGAACACAGCAATGGGGGTTACTATTTAGTTATGCCTCTAGTACACTACTGTCATGTGTCAATTTGTCAGGGGCCACCTCTCCCATATTTCTTTCTTTCTTTTTTCCTTTTTTCAGTTTTTTTTTCTGTAGGGCACGTGTGCTCACTAGGGAGAGAGAGAGAGACTCCTCCAGGGGGATGACCATGCTGCAATCCATTCTCCATTCTCCTCTTCGGCATGCACACACACACACACAGCAGGTGTGTTTTTCAAGCTTCCGGATCTGGAACTCCAACTACACTGTTGGCCATGTGGGATCCAGTCACCCTAACCACTGCACCACCAGCTGACTCAATACCCTAAATGTCCAACAGAGCCTCGGTTGGTCCCATGAGGAATTTTGGAACTGGAATGGCCCATCAGAGTTATCCCCGGCTGAGGCAAAAAGGCCAGGCCTTTGTATTCCCACATCAAACAGTCACTGAACGTGGGCCCCACTGGAGAGCATGTAAGCAGGCAGTTTCAGGCTGTCAGGGCATTGTCCAGTGAGGGAGGCAGGTAGGTGGGTCAGCACTGATAGTCCCAGCAGCAGGGAATGGATGCATCCGTGCTGAAGAGGGAACCTGAGTGATACAGACGGAGCACTGCTGTACTCCTTAAGCCCGTTACAGTAATAGAGGTACTACTGCACACAGCGGGCCTGGGGTTGTGCTAGAACCCGTGGAGTTACATATGCCACTGTCCCGGCCCTGAAGAACCTTATACACTGTAAACAGTATACTGTCTGCTTTTGTCTACTAGAACCAAAGCTCTAGGAGGGCAGAGACAGTTTTGTTCACCACTGAGTTCCCAGTGTGTAGAAGTAGAGCTGTTGAAGGAGAAATCTAATAGAGGCCTGGGAGATGAGTAGGATGTGGCCGTGCGTTATGCAGAGTAAGAGTGACATGCAGGGACCAGCAGTTGGCGTAACGGCTATGTTGCTAGACTCCCATGTAGTCGATCGTGGTTCGAGTCCCGGACCCGATGGTTTAAAATCACGCCAGGTATGCGTGCGTGCGTGCCCAAGATCCCAAGAGGAGAATGGAGGAGAAGGGATTGTGGCATGGCCATCCCCCCAGGGGGTGATTTCTCACTTTCTGTCTCTCTGTCTCTCTCTGTCTTTCTGGCAAGCACATGTGCCCTACAGCAAAAATCTCTCCAAAGAAAAAAGAGTGGCGTGTACCAGAGAAACATGGAGGTGGGGTGGCTCAGCAAGGGCTGGAGACACATGACACGACATTCTCTAACCCAGGCGAGGCTCTGAATAAAGGATGTACAAACATTCACCATTTGAGTTTCATTCCAACAGACTGGGTGTCCGGCCCAGACTCTCCAGATGCTTACTGAGTTCTCTAGATTAAATGGTCGAGGGAACGTCTTCCAGATGAGAGGCATGGTGGAATACCAGAGAGTCAGCCATTAACTAATGGCGTGGTGGCTTAGGGGCCAGCCAATGGTATGGCAGTTAGGGTGGCTGGATCTCACATGGCCAACTGTGTGGTTCAAGTCCTGGACCTCGCAGCTTGAGAAACATGCCTGGTGTGCATGCATGTGTGCCCAAAGTCTTGAGAGAAGAGTGGAGAAGGGACTGCCACGCAGCTATCTACCATGAGGGTGCTTTCTCATACCCTCCTCTGCCCCGCTCTCTTGGACAAGAGCATATGCGCTATAGCAAAAAAAAATATTTTAGAGAGAGATTTTTGCTATAGGGCATGTGTGCTCGCCAGAAAGACAAAAAGTGAGAAATCACCCCTAAGGGGTGATAGCCACACCACAATCCCTTGTCTTCTATTCTCTTTTCGGGACTTTGGGCATATACACATGTTCACCCAGTGTGAGTTTTAAGCCACTGAATCCGGGATTTGAACTGTAGTAAACTACATGGGAGTCCAGCAACATAACTATTACGTCAATTGCTGGTCCTCTATAGCAACGTTTTAAAAAGAGAAAGAAAGGAAGAAAGAGAAAGAAAAAGAAAGAAAGAAAGAAAGAAAGAAAGGAAGGAAGGAAGGAAGGAAGGAAGGAAGGAAGGAAGGAAGGAAGGAAGAAGCAACTACCTGTGTGATCTTGGGGCGTTCCCTGACCCAGCGCCTTGGTCCGTGGGGTGTGAGCAACAGCACTCCTTTACACAGCGGTCTTCAGGGTGTGTGGAGCGGGGTAGTTCCCTCCGTCTGTCAATGCAGGAGGAGGCAGTCCTGTGAGGAACGGGGATGGAGGACAGAAAGACAGGGCCTGGGCAAACTCCAGGCTCGGGTGCACACACAGCCTGCTCACAGACGTTCTCTGTTATCGCAGCCTCCCGGCCCACACACGTGCACAGCTATTAGCTGCCACGCAGGAGCTGAGCTCACTGGTTTTAAAGTCTGCTCCTTATCTCCTCCGCCCAGTAGCTGGGCAATAGCAGTGCCCCTATACAGACGGAGGGAGCGACAACAGTGATAGTGTCCCGTCATGGTCTGCGCTAAGCCCCTGGCTCAAATCAGGGGCCAATTCCGGATCCGCAGCCTCCTGGTCCGGCAGTGCCTGGCAGAGTTCCTGGGTGTGTTTGTGCTCATGGTAGGCAGGGTGCTCAGCGGGAGGAAAGAGGGAGGTGGGCAGAGCTTCCTGGCCCCTCCCGGTGTCCTTACCGCTTCCTCCTCGTGTCCCACTCCCCGTCAGCTCTCAATCACGTCTCCCCCACCGCCCTTCTCTCCTTTCCTCCCTACTTCCTCTGCCTCCCTGTTCCTCCCATCTCTCACCTTCCTTCCCCTTCTCTATTCTTTTTTTCTTCACTTGTTCCCTTTCTCTTCTCTTCCTTCTTTCTGCTTTTCTCCCTTCCTTGCTAACCCCTCCTGGCCCTTCATCTCTTTTGGCTCCCCCCCACGCCCGCAGCCTTCCCAGTCTCTGTGCTTTGTTGGCCTCCTGGGCTCTTTGCCCTCATCCTCGCTCTCCCCACCAGCTCCTAACCCAGGGGGCTGTGGCTCAGGCCGTCACCAGTGGAGAAACCAAAGGCAACTTCTTCACCATGTTTCTGGCTGGCTCGCTGGCCGTTATGATCGCCATCTACGTGGGTGGCAACGTCTCAGGTGAGGGGGGGCTGCCATCAGAGGGGGCGGGTGTGCATCTGAACGTGGGTGTCTCGTGATGGTGAAAAGGCAGATCCTTTGGTGACTCATGGACATTATCGGCTCGGGCTTGACTAGCACCCTGGACTGAGACTATGCCTTTGACCCTGGCCAGCCCCTCCCGCGCCTGCTATCTCTCCATCTCCTTCACAGGCTCCTTGGCTCACCTAGCACACATTTATGGCAGGGCACTGAAAATAAGTTCTGTCCCCCAGGGTCCCCTACCCAAAGTCCTCTGGGGCCCATCTCTGCTCAGAACCTCGTCTGCCAGACACACTTCTGTGTGCCCGGCTGGAGCCCTGAGATACAGTGTGCGGGAAGAGCAGACGGCCCTAGGTTCCAATCTTGGCTTTGTCGCGTGACCTTGAGAAGTCGTTTAACCTCTTGAGCCTCAACTCCCTAAAAGGTGTGGGAATGGGCCAATCGGGTGGTGCGGAAGATAAGGCAGCTGGATCTCACGTGGCCGACAGTGCAGTTCTAGTCCAGGACTCAGCGGCTTGAAAAACATGCTGGGTGCGTGTGTGTGCATGCATGCCCAAAATCCTGAGAAGAAAAAGGAGAAGGGATTATGACATGGTCCTCTCCCCTGGGAAGTGCCTTCTCACTTTCTCTCTCTCTTTGTCTCTCTCTAGTGAATGCACATGCCAACAGCAAATTAGGGAAAAACAAAACAAACACCACAAAAACAAACAGGCTTGTGGGGAGGAGTAGCAGCGGTGTCTGGTGACAGTCCCCGGCAGGGACAGCTAATGGACGCTGTTTCTTTTTCCTTGACTCCGGAAGGCGCCCATCTGAATCCTGCCTTCTCCCTGGCCATGTGTCTCCTGGGACGTCTCCCCTGGGCCAAGCTCCCTATTTACTCCCTGGTGCAGCTGCTGTCTGCTTTCTGTGCCTCGGGGGCCACCTATGCCCTCTATTACGGTAACCGCAGGGAACAGGCTTGGGGGCACGTGTGTGGTGGAGCCAAGATGGAAGCCCTGGTGTCCCCTCTCCTGCAGATGCTCTACAGAACTATACAGGTGGGAACCTGACAGTGACGGGCCCCAAGGAGACAGCCTCCATCTTTGCCACCTATCCGGCCCCCTATCTGTCCCTGAACAATGGATTCTTAGATCAGGTAGGTGTGAAAGGGAGACAGGGAAAAGCCCCAACATTTGCCTGTCCCTTGGGACCCCGGCCTATTGTCCAGGCTCTGGCGGGAGTAGTTTTATTGTGGCTGGCTGGCTGTGTTGGAAAAAGCCAGATGCCATGGGGGTTGGGGTGAGAGCTGGCAGTTGGAGCACCTGGCAGCTCATGGGACTTTACTGCCTCTGTCACCTCTAAGGTTCTGGGCACCGGGGTCCTGATTGTGGGGCTCTTGGCCATCCTGGACAGACGGAACAAGGGAGTCCCCGCAGGTCTGGAGCCTGTGGTGGTGGGGATGCTGGTCCTGGTCATCGGGTTATCCATGGGCGCCAACTGCGGGTTCCCACTCAACCCTGCCCGGGACCTGGGCCCACGGCTCTTCACCTACATGGCTGGCTGGGGCCCTGAAGTCTTCAGGTGGGTGACAGTCTTCTTGAGTGCTGTCCTCCATTCACCTCCCTCTGCTAAGGGCTCTGGCCCTGGGTCCCTAACTCCTTTTTTTTTTTTGAGAGAGAGAGAAAGTTTTACTATAGGGTACATGTACTCACTGGAGAGACAGAGACAGAAAGCAAGAAATCACCCCCCAGGGGGGATGACCACACCGCAATCCCTTCTCCAGTCTCCTCGGGATTTTGGGCACACATGTATGCCGCTGGGTCCTGGGTCCGGGACTCGATCCTCGGTCAACTATGCGGGAGTCCAGTAACGTACCCATTATGTCAACTGCCAGTCCTGCAACTCTCTCCTCTTAACACCTCTCTTAGCCTCTTAGGACAGTGCCCCTTCTCCGAGCCACATGTACTCCCGTGTCCCCCTCTTTCCTTTTCACTGACACAGGCGGATTTAGAGGGCATGTCGCATTATGTCACCGGGCATTAGCGATCTTACCCACAAGATGAGTGTATTCGGGTAACTAAGACAAGAGGCCGGGCCAAGCTTCCTCGGGGTCCTTCCCCTCCTATCCTCTTCCAAGTGTCCCTCACCCCAGGAGCCAGTTTAGAGAGCTCAAAGCGGGCTGCTTAGGGAGTCACCCCCATCTCTCCTTTGGTCCTTCTCTTGCAGTGCTGGTAACGGCTGGTGGTGGGTGCCTGTGGTGGCCCCTCTGGTGGGGGCTGTCCTCGGCACTGCCACGTACCAGCTGCTGGTGGCTGTACACCACCCTGAGGACTCAGAGCCAGCTCAGGAGCCGGCATCCACCCAGCACAAAGCCTCAGCCTTGGGAAGCCCTGCCTGGGCTCAGACGCGGGAGTGTAAGCTATGATCCTGGCCGCCCTCACCTCACCCAGGACACTCCGGGCCACTGACCCCGCCTGGCGGCGTGACGCCTGACAGGCATTCTCCCTCTTTATTAATGTGCCAGCCCTGGGGAGCTCTCCGTGTACCCATTTCGCCATCCCTTCCTCCTGAACTGGGAAGGCTCTTGACCAGGGCAGAACCGGAGGAGGATGAGGTCAGGGGCCGGCTTCTAGGAACACTGTTGCTCAAAGTAGCCGCCAGAGGGTGTGCGCCCTGGATTGTGGGTCGGGAAGGCTGCGGGAGGAACCTGCAGGGTGCAGGGCACCCACCACACGTTGGGGCGCACAGTCCTGAGACTTCCCCCCGCCCCCGAAACCTGGTCCCTACCTCCGGACTCCCAGCCATCACCGTCTGGGCGCCGCCGCGGGGTAGCTGGGAGGCGAAGCTGCCTCCGCGCAGGGGGCGTGGTGGGGGCGGGAGGCGGAGCCCAGCTCTGCCAGCGCGGGGAGACTGGAGAGCCAGGTGGGGAAACTGAGGCACGGCCGAAACCCAGACGTCCCGGGGCTGTGTCATTCAAGGAGAGGGTGCAATTCAGTGAGCCAGGCGCGGAGACGAGGTGAAGGAACAGAGGGACCCCAGGGGCCTGGGTAGGAGCCAAGGGCATACTGGCGCCGAGGAAAGTTCTCGTTCACCGCCCTCCTGCACTTACTGCCCTCCCCGCAGAAAAGGCTCTTTCGGCAGAGAAGGCAGCGTTCTCCTGATCCCTTTCTTCCAAATTAAAAACACGAGACAACTCTGAGCTACCTAGCCTCCGCGATTTTTTTCTTTAAGATTTGGGATGGATGTCCGGGTTGGGGGAACCGGCCTGGCAATGCCAAGCCTCCAAAGGGTTAAGACCCTCCCCCTGCCCCGCACAAAGATGGCGCCCCCTTCCTTCCCTCC